TATAGAAGAGTTGAAGATTTCAAAATCATTTATATTAAATTTTAAATATATTATATAAAATGACCGAGTGTTTTAATAAATGAAATGAAATGAAGAGAGAAAAAAGAATTGTAAAAGCGTACCTTGCCGCGCGTGTATGTGTGTCCGCACACATATATACGCATACACATATATATACGCGTACTTACACATACGCGCATGCATTTTACATACACGTGTGTATATATACATATATTTATGTATATACACGTATATACGGGCAACTTATATACGTACATACATACGCACAAATGTGCATGCAACACCTTAAAATCAATGAAAAAAAAAAAAATAAAAAATAAAAAATAAAAAATGAAAATGAATACAAAAGAAAAACTTTAAAATTGGATATTGAGAGAAATGTCTTTTAAAATTTTAAGATGATATTAATAAACTCTTTTTTAAACAAAAATAAAAAATCAAAAGATAATTAATAAAATCAAATGAAACATATAAATAAAGAAATATAAAAAATTTCTTTTCATTTTGTACTTGAAGAGAAGAGTAGAAAAGTATAGATGTTAAGAATGCAATTATTAATAAAAATATAATAAATGAATTAGTAAAATACGTAATAGACAATTATATTGTTTTGTAAATATTACTGATTGCATTTTAAAAAAGAATTATTACAATAATGCATTTTTACACTATATTATACAATTATTTTAAGATTACAGATTAATTATACTGGAAGTATCATTGAATAATAAAAAGAACATATGTAATCAAAGAAACATATGTCACTTTATTTTATGATAACAAGGTTTTAATGATGCAAATATAAGAAAAAAGCTTACCATTTATACAATCTGTTACATTATACAATATATTAATACTAATATACTGCTCAATAGCAAATATCTATTTCCTTCAAGATCGGATTGGACATATGTTCATTAAATACAAAACGTTCCTCTCATTATTCTATATTATTAATTAAAAAATATTAAATATAAATATAAATATTTCTATAACTAATTGAAAAATATCAAGAAAATACAGAAAACACTTACTAATAATTCTTTCAAAATTAAATCTGATATGATTGAAATTTAAATACCTATTATAATACTTGTTCTGTTTCAAATTTAATACTGGAGTAAAGTGCTGGTTAAATTCGAGGTAGGGCAGGATTAGGTTTGAAATTTGGTGTTTAAAGAATTCTCTTCCCTTCAAGACTTATCTTTTTTCTCCTTTCTTTTCTTAGCTAACTCTCTTAACTGAAACAAAGTGACTGATCTTAATTTAAATAACACGTATTGAAAAATACAGAAAGTAGATAGGGACAATTAGAAAAAAATAGCAGCGTGAAACAAGGGACAAGAAAATTATCCAATATATGTCATGTTTTTTCGCTATGTCGCACTGCGGAAAATAAAATAAGAAAATAGCATGATTTGCGCGAACGAAACGAATAGAAGCTCGCGATTCGCAAGCAGAACTGCGACGAAATGAAACAGAGAGAGAAAGATAAAGACAGGCGAGAGAAATACATGTTGAAACGGCAGACAATCAATAAGAAAGAATAAACTGAAAATAAAAAAAAAAATATTATAAATTATATATAAAAATAAGAAGCGATAAATTAAAACATAATTTCAAAGATTAATTACACAAATGAAAGTAAAAGTAAATTTAAATTGGTGTTAAGAAAGAAAGTAATGATTAATAAAGATAGATTTGGATAAAAGAATAATCAAGTACGTCAAACATAAAGCACCAGTAAGAAGAAAAACTTAAACTGGTTAATGGAAAAAAAAAAAAAAAACAAAACCATTGAAAATAAAATCAGATCATAATTATAATAAAGAATTAATATTTAAGAACGGTCAAACAGTGCGGAGATTGGACTTGCGGACTAACCATATAGTAATCCTGAGAGGGGGATCTGCCTGTCACAGATACATTCTGCACCAGAGTTCTTTTGCTCGTCTGAAAGTAGGTTACATATTCAATTTACGTAATTAGCTTAATTGAGTGGGTCTATAATATTGTTTTTTGTTTTCTGTTTGTTTTTATAATAATTTCAAAAATGTAATTTCTTTAAGAAATTATATATTGTATAGTTTTATATATATATATATATAATAATAATAATAATAAAATTTTATATATATATATACACATATATACGTGTATATGTGATTGTTGCTTCATAAAACATCTTCTTTTTCAATTCTTTTTTTACCATTGTGCTAGATTAAGAGTAGTGTTATCAGAGTAAGAAGAAAGGAAATAAGAGAGAAAATGAAGTATAAGTAAACAGAATAAAGAAAGTAGAAATTATCATGATTAAACTTTACTCTTCTTTTTCCTTTTCACTCTTTGGACTATGCGATCATTCTGTCAAATAATTTAAACAAATATTAATCGATTAAATATTTTAACACTTAACAAGTCCTTTATCATAAGTCCAATAGATATTTTAATAATATAGTATTAGTAACAACGTAATAGTGTAAAATAAGAAATTTACACGATCACGAGCCACAAGTATGGTCAAGTATGCGCTAGCTTCATCAGTTTTAACCCGTTCCCATTAAGAAAAATAAAATAATAAAAAATAAAAGGAAAAAAAAATTACGAGAGACGGCATTGATAAAGAAGGGTTGTCCTTTTCCGACTCTCGCTCGAGCATCGATTCCTAAATTTTTAAATGTTAAATAACTCTACAAATATTCTTATATTAATTGTTCATTTAATTTAATTTATATATCATTAAATAAAAAATCTCAACAAAATATCTATTATAGTAGGGTTCCACTTAAATCTCAATTTTTATTACAGAGAATTTTAATATTAGTTTGTCATTAAAATAATTTATTCCAAAGCAAATTTTTTTTAACCTGTTTCATATTATGTTTCATAATTAAAATTTTTTGGATTAATATTTAAATGGAAATAAAAAGCCTTTCCTTATTTCCTTCAATTCTATGACATTGTCTTCAAGAATCAAAATCTATTTTGCTCAAGAAGAGAATAGCTCAAATTGAACTTTAGGATAGTGAAATGGATTGAAGATTGCTTAAGCCAAATTTAATTCTAAATCATCAAATTTTTGTCTCTATGTCGGGAAAACTAATGATTAACTACCTAAAATATCTATATGCTTTTAGGGTTTTAGGGATTCCAAATAATTAGCCGATAATACTGAAAGTGATACAAGCTGAAGAAATCTATTATAACTACTTTTATGTCTTACTCATCCCTGGTAAATTACCTTTAATAAACTTATTAGATTAATTGCTATATTTCATTTAATTAAATTTATATTAAAATAGGATGTTTTTTGATTGAAAATAGCCAATAAGGCAACAGAGGTTAACAGAAACCTGTGTACATAAAATAATAAATAAAGATCAATTGATCTAATTTGATTAATCTAATCATTTATTTTCTCATGTCTTAATTTAACCTCTTTATTTTATTTGCTGAATTAAGAAGTATGATTATGTTTAATAAAGAAGCCAAGTCCTGTATATAATCCTGTAAAAAACATAGCCATGATAGTAATGATGGAAAGATATAATGTCAAAGAGATTATGAAATGAGATAAAATAATATTAATAATTTTTAGTATCTGAATTTTTTAAATTTCTTGAGTCTTTTTTTTTTTTTTTTAAAGAATATCTGAAATCAAGTGACAATAAATTCATTAACCCTTTATAAATATATCAATATGAAAAATAAGATAATCTGAAATATAATCTGAAAAGAAACATAAATAAAATATAATGCAATTAGATACTATATAATTAAATATATAATTAAATGAATTAAAGATAAAAAGCTCTCAAGATTTATAGAAACTTATAATTTTAAGGAAATTAATCATTCCAACTTTATTTCATTTTATAAAGGATTAACAATAAGGTCAACAATAATGTCTAACAGATTATAAAGAGATCTAATGAACTTTAGAAAATTCAATAAAAGATTTAAATCGAAACAAATATTGAAATAGAGAGAATGACTTGAAACAAATAACCAGAGAACTTATAATTCTTCAATTCAATCCTTAACATAAGGAGCGCACGATTTGCTTAAACTTTCTTTTAATCTTTTTTTTTTTTTTTTTTTTTCTGTAGCTAATGCAGGATATATCGCAAGATCAAAAGGGCTAAAACATGAGGTACGCATCATCGAGGTAACACGGCAAAGAACTCAAATGAAAATGCAAACCAAGGTAAACAACGTTTTCAAACATAAAAAACTAAATGAGAAAAATTAAAAAATGTATATATGTAAAATAAACGTACATATATAATATATTTTTTGATTATACGCCTGCACAGATTATGCCACTGCATGAATGTTTCTTCACAGTAAATCAAAAATTAAAAATTAACATGTGGATATCACTTGATATTAATTATAGAGATATAATAATCTTTATATCCTTATTTTTTTTTAATTCAATATTTTTCTATAAAAAGTTTTCATGAATAATGTTATTTTCATGAAAAATATTAAGCAAGATACAGACTAACGTCAATTTTTTCTTCATTACTTCTTAACCTCTTACCTGTGAAGATTCATTCACAATATAACAACCCATATTTCGCAAAAGATGGTTAAAAAGAGAACAACATGATTCTATGATGATATATGCAATAATAATCGTTATTATCATAATACGGTCGATGACAAATACATATCGTTCAACAGAAATGCTGAATATAGCCGACTGGTAGCGAAAATGCCTAGAATTCGGAGCCAGAACGACGGAGGACTCATCGAACCGAGGCCAAAGAAAGAAAAAATCGGAACGTCGCGTGTGCGACTGTTCTTTATTAATATTTCTTTTTTTTTTTTTTTTAAACCATCTTGTTATTTTTTCTCTTTTTCTCGTATTATTTTGATATTGTTTAACTTTATCCCAGGAACAGGGAGAGGGGAACCCAAGAGAACGCTGACTTCCGAGCGATGGCATGAGAGTGAGAGATAGGGATAGTTACCTGTGTCTGTAGTCGTGTTAGACCACGGATCCATAGAATTTGTCCTGCGCGCGGCTTTTTATCCGAGTCAGGGTCGAATTTCTCATCTCCTAGATTGATCGCACTGATATCATCCGGCTGGCCGCGGCCCCATCTGTTTTTAAAAAACATGAAACCAATTCTTCATCACTCGATCCCTGTTATACACATGGTCTATAATCAAAGTACGTTTTTTTTTTTTAAGAGAAAGATTTTGATTTTTTTTTTTTTTTTTTTTTTTTTAAGATTTGGCTGACTGATGACGCGTAGAGCCGGCTCCTCGACGCACTGCACCAAAAATTTTCACAATTCTACGATCTTTCCCCTCGCTCCTTAGCTTGGATACCTAACCACGTTATTTCTTTAACGGTGTCGATGATGCTGGCTAATTTAAATTCTTTCTTTTTTAGTGATAGATAATCGACTGACAGTGGCACAACGGTGATCAGAAGTGGCTGAGAAAGGAAAGCAAACGAACAGAGAGACATATAGGCTGTTTCAGAGTTGCTAGACATATAATAGATATCCAAGTTTCAATATGAATATAAGTTTTTTTCTGATTTAAAAATAAATTTACTGTGAACATTCATTTTTTTACGTTGCTCTATTATATGTCTTCATTCATATACTTATTTATATATTCTATTACATTATATGCATATTTTTTTCTTCTAATGAATTTTGCTTTCAGTAAGTAATGTGTATTATTGAAAAGTTTTTTTGAAGAGACTTGCAACTACGAAACAGCCAGTAATATATGCACACATACAAGAAAAATGTTGCGACGTGTAAAAGAATGAGCCAACGAACGAGGGGATGCAATGTGAGGTGCAATGCGGACAAAGTGAGCGATAAATGCGGCTTTCTTGATGAAGAACGATCGTATGTATGGATGTGATGTATCTATGTAGCATGTGATGTGCATGATGACAAAAGAGATACTTTTGAGCTTGTTAGGAAAAGGGCGACAGCGATAAATATAATTGACAAAAAAAGAAAAAAAAAGTGAAAAAAAATAAATACAATGATAATGAGAGGGAGGATCGAAATATTTTGAGGAATGGTGCCCACATGATCTGGTAAATTTTAAGATTAAATGTGAGATCTTGGTATTTGATTTTTTTTTCTGAACATATTCCTCTTTTTCTCTTTTGTTTTTTTTTTTTTTTTTGGTTCATTTTTTTTTTTTTCATTCAGAAACGAGTTTAAATGGCGTATATGTACAATTTCTGGTTTCCTCTGTTACATGTGCTGTTAATTCATCCAGGGAGATGCAAGATCTCCGTTACCTGTACAGGAGGGATAATTTTTCAAGTAAAGCTCAAGAAAAATCCGCAACTACTTCTCTATATATCCTACAACAAATGGCTCAGTAAAAGCTTCAACAAAGCGCGAATGCAGAAGATTAATATTAAAAGATGTGAGAATAGAACCCCATATTATTATATGCATATATTTCATTACTTCATTTTCCATAATTGCAACACGTGCTTATATATTGCGGATCAGGACAACCACACAGAAGCATCCCATTATACATATATGTATATACCCTATATTGATAATCATTTCTTTTATTTAATTTATGTTTATGTTATTTTTTTCAATGTTTCTTTTCTTCTATTTTGCCTTTTTATCATTGTTAGTACGCTCAACGCGAGAGCAGCGAAAATTGTTAGTCCCAATTCGCAAGGTATTTTCGTATCCTAACCTCATCTTGCGAATTGGGAGATGACCTAAGCGGACAGAGAGAAATAAATGCAGAGAATGAAAAAAATCGGTTTGAAAAGAAGAAAGTTCGGCTCTGTGCGTGTGATGAATAGAAATGGGGATCGAGAAAGAACAAGAACCAGAGATGGGAAGAGACAAACAAGAAGGAGAGAAATATATATAAGATGTATAGACATAAAAACAGATAGAGAAACAGAAAAAAAGAGAGAAAGACAGAGATAAATAGTTAAAAGTTACAAGTTATTGAAAGAACATAGTCGAAACAGGTCCGGCGAGAGAATAGAGTGATTACAGATAAAGCGCTAAGCGCAAAAATATCACTTATTATAATAATAACTCTAATTATTCCGAATTTTCAGCTTTGAACTTCGGAATCAAAAGTTTATAAACTTGAACTCAGTTCAAACACGCTACTGAGATCCCTTGCACCACAAACAAAAACGCAAATATATTACAATATATGTGTGATATATTGTTAATGACGAGCATAGTGAATCGTCAAAACGCTGTTTTCATTAGTTACTCTTTCACACAAACAAGTACGTAGACGTCAGAGAAGGATCTTCAGTCATGCAATGACTAATATTGAAGTTTAAGTTTTTTAAAACAAAATACGAGTAACAGTTTACTATCCACCAAGCAAACTAATACTCATTTTTTCCAATATAAACTCTACGTACTACAGTATCTAAATAAATAAATACATGCTTAACAAATTTCCAAAATTTTACTTCCATAATAATATTAATATTCCAGATAATGATATTTTTAAATATCTTTTTGAATTTTTTATGATACTTTATAACATTCTCATATTCATTTCTTCCATTAATTGTGAGTTCAAAATATTTTAAATAAAGACTTGTCTATACTGACAAACATTGTCCTCAAACAATGTACATTATTTGTCAAAACATGTACATTATTTGTCAGCAGTCAAGGAATATTGTTGGATCATGCACACAGATCATATACAGAAAGTGTCGTGTGTTCACATTTAGTTTATCAGTTGAAATATAGACCAATAGTTAATCGTGAGTTGTCCCAGGATATATTTTATCTTCTATTATCTACAGATTGTCGAAAAATAATTATTTGTCAGTATAGATTAACCCTTTTATTTGTTCTCTGTAGAATAATTTTTAACTTCTTCTTATACCTATAATTCAAAAATATATACAATCTATATTCAGATACTGTGGTACTTTCTTATTCAATTTTCTATCTTCGAACATTCAAAGTTTCTTTCTCAGAAGAAACTTGGAACATTTTATCACTTGGCCAGCATTAACGTAAAATTAGAAGAAGAGGGGAGCGAGGGAACAATTGAGCACGCGCGTTTCATTCTTGTCCAATGTATTCAATTCAAATCACAGTGTTCATCATATCATTATTTAAATTGGATTCCTTTCAATATCCGAGCATCTAAGGAGCATGCTACGTAAAGCGGTATACTAATATGGAGTGAAAGACATATGACGAGCAAAAGCAATAGAAAAAGGAATTATAATAAAAGCGAAAACATAAACCAATAGAAGCGCTACGATATATCATATACAGCTATCAATAATAATAATTAATATGAGTTCCACGATGCATATCTCCCTTCTATTACACCTTTACACGATACCAATACTAATGATACTTATCTTGGTAGTGTCTTTTTCACTATAGATGTTGCTACACTTATATTTCATAAATTATATGCAAATATACGTATAATAATGACGGATGTTCGTTGTATAACAGAAAATATTGTCCTAATAATATATGTACAAAAATATTTGAATATTTTTCTATATTAATATTGAGAAATATGCGCATAATTATGTAAAAATAGAAATTAATTAATTCCTATAATTAATATCGAAGATATAATATTTGAGAAGGGGAAATTTTTCATAAATATTATATTTCATAAATGTAATTTTCAAGAATTGCATATAAAATTAATACAATATTTTTTATACAACTATTATCCATTGTCAATTTTCCAATAAGACATTTTATATTCGTACACAATAGATAAACGCAGAAGAATCGTATTTAATTATTAAACACTTTTTAGATATATATAAATATAAATATATATAATAAATCTTCCTCGATAAACAATTCGATTGAGATAAAGAGGTTCATGCAAAGGCGATTGTCGTGTATTAGGAAGATCTCGATAAAAGCTCGTAGAAGCTGCATATAATAACCCGTTAGAATTCAAATTATAATTGTGCTTTCAATTTTTAAAATTAATTAATTTATAAACAAGACACACGTTAATGCGTGCTTGTTAAATTCATTCTTAAAGCTTCAAAAGTTTTCATATTGTTATTAATTAAGAAATTTACTTCTGTATAATGTAACGCGTTCCTGTTGCGTCACACAATGCAAGAAAGTAAGAAAAAATCTTCACTTCTTCCCATTTTACATTCTCTTAATTTAATTAATAATATGATTGATTTAATTCATAGGTCCTAGATGCTTTTTAAAGTGATTGCTATATATATTGATTTTCAATTTATTCTCTTTGACTTTCAGATAAAAAAAAATTAGAAAAAAAGATAATAAAGAAAATTATACGATAAAAACGGAAGAGAAATCGAAAAGAATACGTAATAAAAAAATATCATTCTAAAATATTTTGCTTGAGAACGCAACATGGGCGAAACCATTATTTTTTATCTAAATTAGGCCAAAGGCTGCGCCCGCTAAACTGAACAGAAGTATCTCTTATCATCTAGACACTAAAGAAAATGGTAATCTTTTTACGTGAATATGTTTATAACTTACGAAAGGATTTTAGGAATCTTGCGCGTAGGAATAGTTGTAATTACTTGGCCCCACAATAGAGTACCGACTCCGAAGAATAGGCACCACATCCATTGTTCTAATGTGAGAGCTTTCGTGCTGAACGCCATTTTACCATATTGTATGATAACTACCTAGAAAACAGACGTAGGATTTTATTAAAAGGATACAAGAAATAATAATTGCGATATCACCCAAATGTAAAGCGACTTCTCTTGCATCCGTTTCTGTTTAGCTGGAATCTTTATTAATTTATTATTTAATTAGATAGAAGAAAAAAGTAATATTCTATCTAAAAGATAATTGTTAGATAGCTAAAAACAAGTATTAATAAATTCTTCTATAATAGATTCAAAATCTACATTATACTATGCTAGATTTCACTATAGATTTATCAAAATAATATTTAAGATTTCTAATATTCTACAATATTAATTTCTATTCCTAATTTCATATATAACGAAGAGAATGAGGACAAATACAAATACAATATCATCAAATACATAATCATAGTTTTAATGATAATCTTAATAGTATTGTTATAATTATTAGATAATTCCTTCGTATCATCCAAAGATTACTTTTTTTTTTATATTATATATATACACACACACACACACAATTATCTTAACATCGACCTTTATTCGAAATGATGAGTTATCAGATCATAAGTACCGATATGATATTATCGATCGATATTATCTTTAAGTGAAAAAATCATTCTGTAAGATAATTTACCTGCGATAGACATGTCATGATCCAGATAGTGTAAAAGATGGGATTGGTGAATATTCCTTGGAAGACATTACGCTGACCATGGATTTTTCTAGCGTTAAATTCGTTGAAAAGTGTCATCATGACGAATGTATTAAAGATAATAGTAAAGTGTTGCGTTGGACCGCCGCCAGCCTGCGCAACTCCTCGGCCTGTTTCGATGTCGAGCATCTTATCACCTATTAAACATATTTCTCCATTGAAAGAATGTAACCGTTTCGTTCATCTTAAAATCCAAAAAAAGAAATTACTTATATAAATTCATTTAAAGTATTAATTTGATATTGATTTGAACTATTTTTTTTTTTTTCTATTAATATTATATTGTTACTCGTTAATATTGAATTGTTCGAAAAGAATAATAAACTTATTATTTAATATCCTTTGGATTCAAGATGATACAGAAAAAGTATAAAGATAAAACGGTAAAAAACAGTAATATTTACCAACGAAAAGAAGCATAAAAATTACAGTCAACTGATAGATAGCTTGGCCAAGAATATTCTTCATCATTGTCCTGGAAATGAGCGGTTTCGTGCGACCATAGGGTTTACGAAGAAGAAGATCAGGCGTAGGCATTTCGGTGGCCAATGCAAGAGATGCTAATGTGTCCATGATTAAGTTCACCCACAACATCTGCACCGCTTTAAGAGGGGAATCTTGCACGGCACATGCCCCGATAAAAGCAACTATAACAGCGACGATATTGACGGTCAATTGAAACTGCAAGAACTTTGCTATACTATCGTAGACGTTTCTACCCCACATAACTGCCTTCACGATCGACGAAAAATTATCATCCGTTAAGATGATATCGGAAGCTTCCTTGGCGACGTCGGTGCCAGCGATACCCATGGCAAAACCGACATCAGCCTTTTTCAAAGCGGGGCCGTCGTTCGTTCCATCACCAGTTACAGCAACAACTTCGCGACTCACGCTCGCTTTGCTATCGATTATGCCTTTTACGAGTGTATACTTGTCTGTAGGTGACGATCTAGCCAACACCCTTAACCTCGGCCACACTTTGTCCAACAAATGTTGTTGTACTTCGCCATTGCTATCGCGAATCCTCCTATTGAACTCTTTGCCTTCGAGGATCAGGAAATCTTCGTTTGGTTTCAAAATTCCACATTTCAAAGCAATGGAACGCGCAGTATTTATATTGTCTCCAGTCACCATTCGCACAGTGATGCCTGCTTTTTGACACTTTCTGATCGCTTCCGGCACCTCAGGCCGTACCGGATCCTCGATACCCACAATGCACAAACACGTGAGATTGTTCACGACATTTTCCTCGTCATCCCAATTCGGCTCGTTGTCGATATGAACCTGATTAATTTCTGCCTTTCCAGGAACGAAATCGCGATACGCGATGCAGATAGTACGGAGACCGTCACACGCCATCGGCTCGATCACGTTCTTTACCAGACGCTCTTGCATCTCTTTGGTAAATTTTTCCAAATGACCTTCACGACCATATATAAAGGCACATCTGGAACAATGAAAAAAAATCAAAATCAAAGAAACGTTAAAAGAATATCGAAACAAATGACGATTGACAAGAATTTTAATTTAAAATCTGATTTTATGAATCATTGTGCGTGTACAAAATAACTCGCATCTTAATTGAAATATCTTATTCATAACGTTATCATGAATATAAATGAGAAAGAATCTGGAACGAATAAACGATTAAAAATTTAAAAAGAAATAAACGCACTTCTTCATGATGATCTCGGAAGCGCCCTTGGTAAAGAGCCTGTATCCACCACCTTTCCTCGGGATGGCGGTGGACATGCTCTTCCTAACGCTATTGAACGTGTACACCCGCGTGAAAGTTTCCTCAGGTTGATCGTCTCGTATCGTCTGATAGTTCATGCCCAGGGCTATTACAAATCCAAGTAAGGCACATTCGGTTTTATTGCCGACTTGAAGCGGCAAATCTGTAGGTTCCTGCGCAGGCATTATTCTGGATGTGTACGCCGAATTAATAGAAATAGCTTGAACCATTAAGTTTCCGACATGCGACGGGATATCCGAAAACTGCGGGGTTATTTTACTCATCTTTTCGCATATGTACGATTGAACAACGGTCATTCGGTTGGTTGTCAGGGTACCAGTCTTGTCCGAACAGATTGCCGTCGCGTTACCCATCGTTTCACAAGCATCCAAATGACGCACCAAGTTGTTGTCTTTCATCATTTTCTATAAATATAAAATTATACAAATTCTTCGATTATCAACAGTTTTCTTTCGTACGATTTCAAGGATAAATAAAATATATACGATCTGAAAAGTTAGTTGTTTCTTTTTAGCATAAAAAGAAACAAAGAAAAAATTTAATTTAAGGTAAAAAAAAAAAAAAAATTTCCAGAATACTCAAGTGCATGTTTTTGATCGATTGATGTTATATCATCTCGTTCGTACAAAGCTAGATATCGATATTTTTATCAAATGCTTTTCAAATTATATTTGAATAATTTAATTTTAAAAGAATAAATTTAATAAATAGTCACCTTAACGGAATAAGCAAGGGAGAGGGTAACAGCTAGAGGAAGACCTTCGGGAACGGCAACTACAAGTACCGTTACACCAATGATCAAATGCCGCACCAAATCACCAGCGTATGTATTTTTCCAACTTTTCCCCTCCACGTAAAATGTGGTAACGCAGAACTGAATGACTAGAATGACAACGGTAAGCACTGCTATGGTCGAGCCGGCGTAACCGATTTGTATGGCGAGTTTAGTTAGCTTGGCTTGTAAAACACTCTTCTCTTTTTTTCCTTCAGGTGCGTGGCTAACTGCATGGTGGTTCTCCGCAGGTTCAGGCTTGGCTGCGCTCACATGGCTGTTCCCAGTTATTTCTTCATCTGTTTCATTAATAACATACACATTCGTATTAAATTTCTTTATAAATATTGTTTGAAGCTCGATTCCCTTTTTATCTTTTTTCTTTTTATTTATATCCGTTAATTAACTTTTATATATCGCGTTTTTTTTTTACATGAATTCAGTACTTATTCGCCATATGCTCGATTTTTTTTCACGGATATATATATATATATATATATATATATATAAAATCATTTCCATCCTTGAATCTAGTGAAAACACTATCTCATATAAATTTCTCATACAAATTTCAAAACGAACAATCTCGATATTTTTTCGTTTTTCATTAGCTGTTTCTATATTCATTGTTGTTTAGAAAAATGAAATAAAATAAGAATTTCATGTCTTCAGCTCATGATCGATTTCAAACTGAGCTTATTATGAATAAGTACCCAACAAAACGTTAATATCTGATAGGATTCATATTAGAACTCTACTATAACTCGAATTCTTAATAGTACTCTTACTACCGTATATTTAAATATACGAAATATTCGAATTTTGGTTTGAAATTATAGCTATTCAATTTGCATCTATTCAAATCTGAATATCCGAACAATAGTAAGAGCCTTAGTTATAAAACTATATGATTTAAAGATAATATTTCAAAAATAGGAAAATTAGAAAAACATGGATTATTTGATTTTTAATCCTAATATATATACTAATTTCATTGAGATGTAGAAGAATCAGGCAAATAATGGAATCGAGTTTCCTTATAATACATTTACAACTACATATATTGCATTTACATATTTTTCAACTAATATTAAGATATTAAACGATACTGGTGACTAGTATTAGTAATCAGTATCTATTGAAGAAAGGGAAGAAGAAATGTAGACATAATAATATAAGCCGGTAATAAAGAGAGATAATCATACGAGTTAATCGAAAGGCATAACATGTTATACGTTAAGAAACATAGACACGTAAAATAATTATAAAGTGTATAAAATAGAGAAGGGGGGGGAAAGAGAGGGAGAGAGAGAGGGAGAGGGAGAGGGAGAGGGAGGGAGAGGGAGGGAGGGGGAGAGAGAGAGAGAGAGAGAGAGAGAGAGAGAGAGAGAGAGAGAGAGAGAGAGAGCATTACAAAAAAATAATAATCAGAAGCTATACAAAAGTGTATAGTAGCGATTAGGATTCTTCTTTAAATATGCAAAATCCATTGCTATTTGAAAGCATTCACAGAATCAAACGTAACAGAAGGTACAGAGAAGCACGGATGAGATACGATTCTACTTTTTCATGTTTTTTTTTTTTTTTTTTCTCATTCACGTTATACGAGAGCATACTAAGAAGACGAAATAGAACGAAAATGAAAAAAAAAATATAGATCGATTTTTAAGAAACATAAGACAGTCTTCGTGTTGCATATACATATATATGTATACAGGGTAAGTCACATAAGATGTTATAACTTGTTTTCTCTAAAATCACTACATATATCGATATAATTGTTATTTTTAATTACGTGATTTTTAGGATTTAAGCTGAAACAAATTTTTTACTGATTTATTCTTTAGATTTGAAAAATTTCATACTCTAAATAGGGGAAAAAAATAAATCCTACATAAATTAATAATATATATATTAATAACGTATGGTTTGAGAATTATTTTATATTAAATGTCCAAAATATTGTCTATATTCAATTGCAAAAATATATATATTCATTTTTATAACAATCTAAATCCAAATTTGCATAATTATTATTTTCTTCTTAAAAAATTCATATAAATAATAATCGAAAATAATACAAATAGTATTAAAAAAAGAAAAATAAAATATTATTTCAGAGAGGGGAATAATTATTTGAATTTTTTCAAAACTATTTACATTATTAAATGATTAACTCTTATGAACTTTCTAATTGATATATAAATAAATAAATAAATTATCTCAATATCTATAATATTTTTAAATTTTAGAGAAGACAACTTGATAACACATGTGAGTCGCACTATATAGGATATCTCTCTATGAAAATTTATTCTACATGGAAAGATAAATCAAAAAAAGGAATAATGTTTTTTCATCTGATACTTCGTTTTCGAGAAAATCGAGTTTAAAAATTTATATAAATGTACATAAATTTTGTCAATTTTTGATGACATATAAGTAAATTATTGAAAAAAGATTATTCTACATATGAAAATAAATACAAATATAGTAAAAAATACAGAATAAAAATTTTTATTTAAAGATTACTTTTCAAGAAAATCTAATTTGAAACTATTTTTAATCTCGATTTTATATATATATATATATATATATATATATATAAAAGAACGAGGACTCAAACGACAAAATGTTATTCTAAATTTTTTACTTATTTTCACATGTAGAATAATCTCTTACCGATAATTGACTCGTATCCAATTGTAAATTTTCAAACTTGATTTATTCGAAGATGAAGCCTTAAACGACTTAAAATTTATAGTCTTTTCTTTCGACTCATTTTTGCATGTAGAATCACCTTCTGCTCGCTTATACCACCTATCCTAAAACATTCTGCATATGCATATACAGTATGTATGTATATGTATAATGCAATAAACAGAATAGACAAAGTGATATAAAGGACAAGAATTTAAAATCAAAAATTCTCCTATACATTTTTGATTATAATTTGAAATTTTTTTGTGTCATGTGCACTTTCTAGAAAAATAAAAGGCAATCTATAAAGAAAAAAGAAAGGAAAGAAAGAAAAACAAGTGAATTAAAATTTAAAAAAAAAAAGAGGAAAAAAAATACGCGCGCGTGCTCGTTTAATATATACGTAAATATTGAAGATTAAAATAATGAACAGTAATGATTTATGATAATACTTTATTCACCTGTTAATGACTTCTTCTTCCGCTGCTTCTTAGCCTCTAGATAAAAAAACGCATGCAAAACAAAATTGATTAGCAATCTATCTAAAAATGTAATATGCCAGTTATGCCATATTTGTAAATTCTCTTACATTCTTAATCTCTCAATTTCTATCTGTGTATTCTATCCTCATATATCCTAACGAAATACTTATTATAAATAAACAGCATTTATTTCAAACAGAAGATTTATTTCTCTCTTATAAATACTAATCCATATTTTGTTGTATTTGTTGTTAATCATTTATAAAAATATGTTATATAAAATTCAAAGAATTTCCCAAATTGTGCAACATACATACACAACAGCGTAAATCATAAAAAAGTATTGGATTTAAATCTATTTAATCCCTTATAAATAGCAATAAGATCGATTCTTGCTATTATATTTAAAAATTAAAATTGTTTATGTTTCTAATTTTTAATATTAATTATTATATAGAAATTATTTTATATTGAATATTATATAGAAATATAGCATCTAATAATATATAAAAATAAGAAATGATTTTTCGTTTTTAAGAAAGTTGATCATAAAAATTCAAGTATGTACTATTTGACAATTATTTATATTTTGTACAATGAAAAAAATAATTACAATAATTGTTTGGTCAATTATTAAAATTATTTATTATTAAAAATTTTTATTTCATATCTTTCGTATTGTAATAATAAGTCGTTATTTATAATAATTATTATTATACTTTATGAGATGAGACGATCAAATAAATGTCTTTGTCACGAATTTTTCAAATCAATTTTCTCAAAAATGAAGTCTCTTATCGACAAATTATAATTTATATTTTCGATCCATCTTTTCATAAAATTACCTTCCTATCATCCAAATTACTCGTTTCATTTCATTTATTTCATATTCTGTAAAAATTATTCGTAATGATTTATGAAATGAATACATTGATTCATAGTAAGAATTGATTTAAATATAATAATGATAAAAAATATGTTTAACTCATTCAATAGAAAACTTTCATAAATAGACAGACATAAAATAGAGATACTAACATTTACAATTAAATGTAGACTAATTTAAATATTTCAAAAAAAAAGCATGATATGATAAGCTAAGATAATATAATAGTTTCAATTAGCATACAATAATGGTAACTAATAAATTATAATATTTATAATGTTTAATTTATAAAAATTTTACTTACTACTTAAATTATTTATTTTATACTGAACTATATAAGAACTTTCTTGTTTAATAATTGTAAATAAATTCTTTTAATATAATAACAATAAAGCTATAAACATATTTGAAAAAAAAGAAAAAGAAAGAAAGAAAAAGAAATTGGCAAATGATTTAGAAAATTGTTTAAAATACTGCAAATGCATGCCAAGGAAAATAAAAATATCATAAGTAATTGGAAAATTAAATTCACAATAAAATATTTTCACATCAATCCAAAATAAACTCCATGCGTCTACGTTTCTTTTACGTATTTTGTGCCATGCGCTTTATAACACCCGCTACTACTTTTGTAAAACAATTATTAGTTAAATCTCTTTCATCTAGACTAAAATTTCTAGCATTTTCTATAAGACAGAAGTAACGAGCTTCAATTAATTTTTTAAAATACTATAGTGACTATAGTGACACAAATAAACTTGGTATATTATCATTTTGAAAACAAAATTATTCTTATTATTTCCTTTCTTTCTTTCTTATAACTAAAATAATAATTATATTAAATTTGTTTTTTTAAAGTTCTGTTTTCAAAATGATAATTTTAAAATTTATGTCATCCCAAAATATTCAAATCTAATCAAATAGATTTACATTGATTGTTTTACACTGAAGTCGAATTTACATACCTTTCTTCATTTTCTTGATTTCTTGTTCTTGTTGATCAACAGCAGCACCCAACAAAGTAAAGATAATACCAGCCTGCGAATTAACACCTACTGCAGTAACTAACATTTTTCCAGAACCCTCCATCACATGTGTACCTTTTGAAACATAAATCATTGTAATCGCCATTCTAATATTAATAGTAATTAATTATTAATGTTCGATCTATTAAACAGAACCCTCACCTGAGAGTACCATGGGATCAAACGATTCTCCTTTTTTAACATGGTCTGACTCTCCGGTTAAACTGGACTCATCCACTTTGAGATCGTTGCTTTGTATAAGGATACCATCTGCTGGTAGCAGGTCTCCATATTTTATCTGAATTATAGATAGATTCCAATTTAAAGAAGACCTTTATATTTTTGGTGAAATAATATTCATTATCGATGAATATAATTTATTAATTAATTTATTAATATAATTTACAAATTCTCATACATGAAGATAAATTCACGAGATATAGTCAAATTTAAAAATATACAAATATATCTATATTAAATTGATTTTATAATGATTCAAATATGGATTTTTTGAGTTAACCAGAGAATCGTAAATCATAAATATTTGATTTATTGAACATCGTTTAATTTTAAATATTAGTTTTTGCTAATATAAAATTTAAATATACCTGACATATATCACCAACAACAATATCAGCTACAGAAATCTGTTTGACTTCTCCTTGTCTAATGACAGAAAATTTATGTTCCCCCTCTATACGACTTTGGAGGCCCCTAAATTGTTTTTCCTTAGAGTAATCATTGGAAGCTGTTACTATTACCACCAAGATCACAGAAATAAATATAGCAGCTCCTTCTATCCAACCATATTTTGCTTCATCTTCATCTATTAAAGCTGAAAAAGTTTAAAAAAATTTTTGTTTTATTTTCTCTATATTTAATATAGTTATTAAATTATTATCTAATATTATATATAATAAAAAATAATAATTAAAAAGATTTTGAAATATATGCTTACGTTTTTCTTCATCATCTGCTGGGTGATAAAAGCTAAGACCTAATGAAACCAATGCTGCTACTTCCAAGATAATTAATGTAACATCTTGAAGAGCTTCCCACACTAATTGTAGAAATGTTTTTGGTGGTTTTGGAGGTATTAGGTTGGAACCAAATGTATCTCGTCTATGTTGAATATCAGCTGCTGATCCACTGAGACCTATAACAAAAGTTTATATATAAATATTTTAATCAAATACTTCTGAATATTAAAAAATTTTAAAAAACTTACCTTCACTAGGTGAAGTGTATAATTTTTTACAAATCTCCTGCACACCACCATAGCTATTGACTTTAGTGACACCTTCACGTCCTCGGAGCTCCATGAGCTCACGAAGTTGCTTAAGACTGATACCATATTGGGTCGGTCTGCCATCTATTGTTGCCATTTTGTTTTTTCCACCGACGTTGGCTTAAGCCAACTTTACTATACTTCTTCACGCTAGCAACTCGTATTATTTTTTGGTGTCACTGACACCACTGGTCTCCAGGAAATTGGAGGACCAATAGCTACAACAAAGAAATGAACTATCTTGAAATTTTATTCCACTGTAAATTTTTTTATATCTTTAATTGTCATTTTTAAATTGGAATTGGATTGAATTTTATTATTTTGTTATATAAAGATTGATAAAAAAAAAACAAATTAACATATAATTAACATATAATAATATATGAGTTATAATTATTTATAGAGATGTATTATGTCATATTATGTATTATCATAATTATATTAGTATGCATTTTAAAAAATTATTTAATTTTAAAAAAATTAAATTGAAAAAGCTAATATTATACTATCATTAGTATGTAAAAGATCTATATATAGAATATAAAAAATCTATGATTTGTACAAATAATAATTAACAAAACTTCATGAAAAAATTATCCATACATGATAATAATTTTAATTATAAATAATTAATATAACTAAAAAAAAATTTTTGAAATATATACATACAATAATGCAATATTTTATATACAATATTTTGCACAATTTTGATGTCAAAAAGATGCTTAAAAAAAATAATTCTTTTAGCTTTTAACTTGAAAATCATATAATATTAGAAATATGATATTAGATATATGATATTAGAAAATTTCTGAAAAGTTGTATAGGAAATTGAAATCAATGAATTTAAACATTATCGATTGATACGTATTAAAATTGAAAAAAACAACTCATCTGATAGAATAATAATAAAGTATATAATTAAAAAGAAGTGAAAATTTATGATAAATGATCTTATCTGGACTGTCATCGAATGCCGACATAGTTTTGAGGTTATGTACCTCAACAAATGAATCATTACTTAGAGATGATAGACGACAATAAAAGTGCTAGACATTCTCTTCCGAAATGATGTCACAATGAAGAAACAGTGTAACGGGACAGACCAATTGAACGAACATTGACGATATAGTCTGTCTAAAAATAACACCGATCACGGAAAAGAAACAGCGATGACAGAGACATAAGGAGAAACACAGAAAGAGAGAACACCCCGTTTACCTTCTGGTGACAGTTTATGTGTTGATGCCGAGAACGGATTACAAATTGGCATACAAACCAACCTCCCTTTATTGATACGGACCACGAAGCTTCATTCTTTCCTGTCAATCTCTAACGTGCAAAACCTTGAATCGCACCACACCACTCTAGGCAGCGAATTTGCTCACCACGGAAAGGCGTGTTAAGTGAAATAAGCCATTAGCAATATAGTAATCGATTCGTGTTGCCCTCTAGTTACTCGTACACGTACTGCGCAAAGTTTCACTATTTTCTTTCGGTTTCACTTGCGATTCGATGCTAGATAAATCAATGTTACAAAAAAAAATTAACATTATTATAAATTGTAATTATAAAATTTAATGAAACTTAATTTATAAAACAAATGTATGTATCTTTAAAATATTATCTTTAAAATTTAAATAGAAAAATTTTTCTATGGATCAGCTATTTTCAAAAAGAATATTAAATATTTGTAATTGTCTAAAAATGTTTAAATCTTTATTCAAATTTTTTAATAAATAATCTAATAAAAAATTACTTTATAATATATAATTAATCTCTGTAAGATGATTGTCTCGTCGATGCAAACACTCACGATGTTTCACAATATGTAATTTACGATATCATGAAACGTATGAAGCGGAATTCAACAATAAAATCGACACATCATATAGCGAATCTCGCGATTAACTGAACGTTTTCTACGTTTTTCATTTGAAAGTTCAACTTGATTCATTCATCGTGTTTTTACGTAATTTTTACTCACAATACTATTTTCATCCTATTACAAATGGACTTCTAAATAACTATTAATTATTGCAATCTTAAATTTCTATTAATAACTAGTGTGCAACATCATGAAAAAATGAGAATTTGCGGTGATTTAAGGCATTTTAACAATATCTATAAAAAATGCTTAATTAATTAATCTCATGACAAAATGATAGAAAATTTGTCTAAAAAAAAAAATAATGATTTCATATATTTTTGCATGTATAAGATTATATAATTATAAATTTTATAAATATTATAAAAATATTATCGAATAATATAAAACCAATACTCCAAGAAGAAGCAAAATTGCCTCAATATTTTATTCGAAATAAAGCACATTTTATCATTTTTCCACACATTTTATCATGTTTCAATACTCTATCCCAATAACCTTTCGTGTTTAAAAAGCATCATTTAACTAAGAGGAATTGTTTTAAGCAATCAAAGTCCATTTCCTTGACCGCGTGGAGGAAAGAGATATTTTCTCTATGCTCTATATTTCGAGAGTATATGTCGATATTGTTGATTGAGCTGAAGAGCCATAGTCGATACGGGACAAACAGAGCGGCAAAGCAATAGAAGAAGAGGGAATTAATAAACTAAAGAGAGAAGAGAAATGGTTCTTTTACCATCCAATTTCAACTATTTTCGTATTTTCACGTGGATTCTATTATTGCTTCTATTGTTTAAATTTATTTGAACTTTTCGATAGAAAAAGACGGAAAATTTACGGCGACAAAAAATTCTTATTATTAAATATTTAAATATTTAAGCATTGAATAGAAGAATTGTCATATTATTTTTAAACACGTTTTGATTCATATTAATTATATGATTTTGTAATAATTTTTCAAAAATCTTTAATAAAGTTAATCTATAAGACCTATTTTCAACTTCTCGATTTATATATATATATATATATATATATATATGGATTATGTTTTTCCGTTTGCCAGTTATAACTAGTAATTTTCTAAGCGATAAAATCTCTCTCTACTTATAACTAAATGTAATTCAAAAATACAGAAAAATCGAGTAATCTTATTTTCTTTTTTCTCTTAGGTTATATATATCTAGATTTAATGCATGAGGAGTTGTTGACCAGAAAAGGGCTTCCTTAATTAGAAGCTGATGGGAAGACTAACTACTGCCATATTAAGCGTAAAAGTGATAAACTATTCTTATTTTTATACAATATCTGTTTAGATTTTATTTCACATTTTATTTCTATTGAGATGAGAAACCAATCTTCATATAATAAAATACCATCACTATCTTCAATATTGAATAATAAATATAGTGCCATAAAAAATTGAGACATTGTATATATTTTTTCTACTATAATATACTTTTTTATAGAAATTTCTCATGTAATATATATCAATAATTAATAAACGTTAACGTTAACTGCAATTGATTCATCAATAATCAACTGAGGAAATCAACAATAATCTCTAGGCCTCTAATTATAATGCTTTGTGAAATCAGTTTTTATTGAATCGAATAAAACAACATTATTTTGATGCAAATTTCTTACACGAATAACTCATATATTTAATATTTACATATTCAAATTACGAATTATAATATTATTCTGAACAATACACAATTTCTTATATATTTTATTTCTAGAACTCTTATAGAATTCATCATATCTGCATTTTAAGAAATCAGAATCATAACCTTATATTCAATTATTTTATTGCAATTATTGCAATAAGTAATCAGTATATTGTAATGAATAATAAGTAGTGACTAGTTAGTTATTATAATGTAGTCATTTATTGTAAATATTAACTATACTTTTATTAATATTAAGTTAATATTTAATTAATATTAAGTAATATAATATTTATGGTATAATAATAAATAGATATCTATTTCTGTGACTATATATCGATGGAATTAAATAGTTAAATAATAAAAGAACTCTACTATAGTTTCATCAATATATTTTGATAATAAATCGAACAAATATCTTTTTTTAAACAATTCTACCATCTTATAAACAATTCAAAGTAAAAAAAGAATTTCTGAAGATAATCAGAAGAAAATTAAAGTATATAATGCAAGACTCCACTCAAATATATGATTTAAATGTATATTCGAAATATTTGATTATTCAAGATATTTGAACTATATAGTATGAGTTCTAATGTTTGTTTCGATTAATTTAACAATATAAAAACTTTTATAACAGTAGTTTATCCTAGAAGAAATTTAAAAAAAAATTACTTTAATTAAAAAGTAGAAATAGAAAATCATTGAAAATTGATTTGTTTAATAATTTATTGAGATAAATTATAGTTTGATATAAGTTAATTCAATAAAAAAGTTCAAATAAAAAAAGAAAAAATTTAATTTTCTTATTTCCAATTTTTATTTGATTCACTATAAAAAACTCATTGTTTAATTTACGTCATGATTTTGAAGATAACGTTTCTTTCAATAAAAAAGAAGAATCGCTTCTACTAATTAAACTAAAATTTATCAAATAATTAATTAACACAAGATTTAAATGATATTTCAATATTGCTTATCATATTATAAAATTATGTTAATGACAGATAAAATATACTTGATTGAAATCTAATATATGGATATATATCAATAATATTATCTAATACATTTACCAATTCAAACAAAACCGATTTCATACATGATGAAAATTTATATATCACGATTAACAATTATTTTAAATAAAAATACTACTATTATATTATATTCATTTTTATTAAATAATCTAATTAGAAAATATTGATAAAAGAATCAAATAAAATAGATTTAAGATAGATTCAAGTTCTATAGCATAGAAATTAAATAAGATGACCTTAGTTAGAACGATGAGTGACAATTAAACCGCAGAATATTTCGATCGAGATTTATAGCATATAAGCATTTGTGTGCATTTGTATATTCATATGCTGTTACTTATACCGGATTGCTTGTGCGCGACCATAGAAATCATTGAGTATCATAGAAATCATTCACTGTTCTCATTAGTCATTTCTTTTCGGCTGATGAGCTATGTGAGAAATAAAAATAAAAAATAAATCTCTTGTCTGATTTTCATTAAATATTATAGAATTTCTTTCTCATTTTATATTATTCCAATTTTATTCCAATTCTCAATTTTATATTATTCCATGAATTTCAATCAAATTAATATAATAACGAAGTTACAAAATATTATTGATATCAATATTGTTGATTTTTAATAATTACATCGAATTTCATTATT